AACAATGGGTTGCAAAAGATATCAAGGAGGAGATTAAAAAAATTCTTAGAGGTAAATGAGAACACGGATACAATATATAGAAATCTCTGGGACACTATGAAGGCAGTTCTAAGAGGAAAGTTCATTGCATGGAGTTTATTCCTTCAGATAAGAAAAAGTCAACAAATAAATGACTTAACATTACATCTCAAAGCCCTAGAAAAAGAAGAACAAATCATCCCCCCCAAAGCAGTAGAAGATGGTAAATAATTAAAATCAGAGCTGAAATCAATGAAATTTAAACAATTGAAAAAATTGATAGAACCAAAATTGGTTCTTTGAAAAAATAACAAAATTGACAGACCCTTAGCTATGCTGACAAAGAGGAGAGAGAAAACTCAAATAACTAAAACATGTGATGAAAAAGAAAATATCAGGACAGACACTACAGAACTATAGAAGATAATTAGACATTATTTTGAAAATTTGCACCCCAATAAAATAGAAAATATTGAAGGCATTGACAAATTTCTAGAGGCATATGATATGCCCAAACTAAATCAGGATGATATACACAATTTAAACAGAACAATTTCAAGCAAGGAAATAGAGGACACAATCAGAAGCTTACCAACCAAGAAAAGCCCAGGACCAGATGGACACACAGCTGAGTTCTACAAGACTTTAAAGAAGAACTAACACCAATACTTCTCAAAGTATTTAATAAAATAGAAAAAAAGGGAACACTTTCAAACTCATTCTATGAGGCTAATATCACCCTGATTCTAAAACTAGATAAAGATATATAAAAGAAAGAAAAATTCAGATAAATATCACTAATGAATATAGATGCAAAAATTCTCAATGAACTGGGAAATTGAATACAAAAACATATTAAAAAGATAGTACACATGATCAAGTAGGGTTCATCCCAAGGATGCAAAGTTGGTTCAACATATGGAAATCAATAAATGTAATTATCACATCAATAGACTCAGAGATAAAAGCTATATGATCATATCAATAGATGCAGAGGAAGCATTTGACAATATAAAGCACCCCTTCATGTTCAAAACACTAGAAAAACTAGGGATAACAGGAACATATCTCAGCATTGTAAAATCTATCATGTTAAGCCGCAGGAAAACATCATTCTAAATGGAGAAAAATTGAAAGCACTTTTTTCTAAAAACTGGAACAAGACAGGGATGCCCTCTTTCAACACTTATATCCAACATAGTTCTTGAAAATCTAGCCAGAGCAATTAGACAGACAAAAGAAATAAAGTCATACAGACAGGAAAAGAAGAACTCAAACTAGCACTATTTGCCAGCGATATGATTCTATACCTAGAAGACCCAAAAAGTTCAACCAAAAATTTTCTAAAAACTAATTTACTCCATTATTGTGTATTGGAACACCAGGATGCTCAGATAAAAAAAAAATTCTCTTGGGCTCTGTAGACTTTCAAATTTTTTCCACTTTTGTGTACTGTTAGAAATCAGTATGTTATACTATCTTTTAATAAATCACTATGTAACCAATCATCAAGTCATTGGTACAAATTCCTTGATTTTGGACATTGTATCATTCAAGTTTTTCTCCTTTTAGTAGCAAGTGCAGGAATTCCTGCACAGTGGTTAGTGAACTAATGCCTGGTGGCTTTGTTGAATGACTATTCACCTGCACTAGCTTTCTGTATTCTACTGATTTACAGATGAAGAGCTCCCAAACTGGCTCTGTCCCTTCTACATGGCTGTAGCACTCACAGTACAGGCTGGTGTGAAGTCATGCAAGCCCAGAGGCTTGTGAACTTGCAAGGTAAGGTCTCTTTAAAGCAGAAATTTGTAAACAGGTGTTTAACAATGATACAAATATGACTACAGGTGTTTCAGATATTGAGGTTTTGGAAATAAGAGAAGTATTGGTATTTTTAAATAATTTGATTTAGATGAGAGAAATAATATAATGATCCATAGTATAAGAAAGTAAATACATATGACAAGTTCAGAAGATGTTTGGTGATGAGATAAATCCATATTAAAAACCTTGCAGGTTTTCACCCTTCTATACTGACTTCTGGGCTCTCCAGCAGTCCTTGGTGAAAACCTCTAGAAATTTGTGGCAAAAATGACATGGACAATTGAATATGTGTTTGGGATCTGGAAGCTGATGTAGAACTGCAGACTTTTTTTTTTTCTTTCTAGATTCTTTTATACTAAAACATGTATTGTTTTTGTTTCTCAAAAAGAAATTAGTTAATGCTCCATGAAGTAGATTGAATTATATCATCTTAATTGATGTCCTTCTTTACTTATGTATTTAACTATAACTTGAAAACTTATTTGAATTAAACTTACTGTTTTCATGGATAAGTCTCATAGAAAAGTTAAGATTATGGATGTGATAAAATAAATATATGTATCACCACCTAACATTTATAGGCACTCAAAGTATTCATGTAGGACTACAAAATATGAGTACTTTAGAACCTAGATTCTTTAACATTAAAATAAGCTTTAGTTTATGTAGCTTGACCTCAGTAATTTTAGAGTGTTCAGAACTACATCTTCCTTTAAAGGGTGAAATGATTATTAAAAATTTCCTAATAAAATCCAAAATATGGGGACATAAATGAAGCAAATGTCAGGTAGCATGAGCATCAGAAACAGAAGCAGGAGGAGAACTTAGCATGGGTTTAATGCCAGAAGTGTAAGAGGGACGGCTCCAAGTGCTTTCCTCCTAAAGTGGGGACAGCTGGGAGCTTTCCCTTTTGGTAATTGTCTTCATAGTGCTTAAAATGAGGAAAGGCATGACACACAGATTGCATGAAAATATGCAAAGATTTCTTAAGTGTAAGATACAAGAATTCATTATTTTCTAAATTATATCTTTCTATATTAGTAATTATGGCTTAGTGCTGTTGATCAGCCACAGAGGAATGTTGAGGAGTACTTTATTACATCCTGACCTTCTTAATGTACTTGCAAAGACTGCACAACTGTCTTTTTTATATTTCTACCAATGAACACAAATCCTCATCACATCTGATATACCTTTAGTATAAAGTGTGAAATTTATTGAAAAAGAGAACGGATTTGTGATCAGGACAAAAAGGTAAGGTTCATAAATTTAAAATGTTTCAATGAAAATTGTATACAATATTAGATGTTTTTATTTCCCACAGCTTCTGAAAAATATGTAAGTATGTACTTTGTATAAATGAATTCATTCCTCTACCTCCCTGTCACCTACAATGTACTTGGTACTTGGTCCCTGTTGCCTTAATCTGAATATATTTCTGTCATCTCTCAAATCTGTGCAGATAAGTTTGTGCAATTGTGTGTGTGGTAAGTAAAAGTGAATTGAAAAGAAGGATTTTAAACCCACAAGAGGCAGCATGAAGAACTCTCATATGCGGTACTTGCAAACACTGTGCAAATCTCCACCACACTCCAGGTACACTATCAGTGAAGAATAGAAATCATCGCAAAAACTACAGTGTTTACAAGACTTCCGTGTGCCAGTTATTCTCTGCAGAACTAACTTTCTGGACTAGATGATAATCTGGATGAGATTGCAGATTGCTGAGCAGGATAAAGATGAGGCTCAGATGACTTTGGACTATAATGCCAAGAATTTACTTCTGAATATATCCTGTTCTCCACAAGGAAGCAGAACTGAGTCTCTCCTTGGCTTCTCCCATCTACTCTGTCTGCAGTCAGGGTGCATCTGGGTAGTCAGCACATGGTATGTAGGATGTGGGGAGCTTTGTCACCTCTGCTTTATGTGAACCTGGTGCCTGGCCAGTGGGAACAGGGCCCCAGGGAGCCCAAGACTCAGCCTGCAGATACAGCAGGAAGCCTGAGCACACCACCAGGCAGCTGCCCTAATGAGCCCAGGAGAGAGGACCTGGCCATGTACCAGCATAGACAGTGCATGACACTTAGAAACTCCTCTGCTGGACATCCTCTAACTCATTATTGAGAAATGAATAACACTGAGGAGAGACTGATGTTTCCCTGTGTGTTTTCATCTCTGCCCTCCTTGACCTCAGTGTGAGTTAGGGGTGTTTATGGGGATCAGTTAACATCAAGGGTGGTGGGCAACTCTCACTCACTCCTCAACCTGTTAAGTGGGAAAAATCTAACACTATCTGCAGTTTAGCTACAAAATTTCTTGTCATGGAGATGAAAGGCACATGTCATGAATTTAGCCTTTGCAACAATTTGTAATTATCAATTCAGTGTTATGTACAAAAATATGCAATTGTGCAACATCCAACTACATCTTATTCCCAAGTATTTGTTTCAGTCTTAATGAAACATCTATCCATTGTCCCAACTTATCTTTACTTACTGTCACTTGAAGCCACTAAGTATAATATCCATGTTTGAATTTATGTCCTGGAGATTTTGTATAGGTAGATCATTCAGTGTGTGATCTTTTTTATGACTTCACTCAGCCTGATATTTTCACAATTGTTTCACATTATAACATCTATTACTATTTTATTCTTTTAGTGGATGAATAAGTTTCCATTATATATTTATATCAGCATTTTTAAAATCCATATATCTACCTATAGCCATTTTGGTCCTTTGTTCTTTTAAATAGTGTGTGATTTGTCAATCACTGTCTGTTGGGTTTTGTTGCCTCCTGGGGTAGATTCATATATATGGAGTGCTATTGTTTTCATGTGCCGTTGGATTTGGTTTTTAGGTGTTGCTGAGAATGCTTGTATATGTCTTGATCAAGGATATGGGTCTATAATCCTCTTTTTTGGTGGTTTTTTGTGTAGTTTTCTGGATCTTATATTAGGAAAATGATGGTTTTGTGGAATGTGACTTGAGGAGTTGAAGTTCATTTCAGTTCCCTGGAGTGGTTTCAGGAGACATGGTGTCTCTTCTTTTTGAAGGATTGGTAAAACAGTAGTGAAGCCATGATCTGCTGGAGGTTTCTTTATTAGGAATCTTTTATTACTGATTCAAATTTGTTGGTCATATTAATGTCTGGGTCTTTTATTTTCTCATAATTGAGTTCTGGTGTGTTACATCTGTCCCATATTTATTCCTTTTGTATAGATTTTCCAATATGTTGGTATGTATTTGTTTATATGAGTTGCTAATAGGTCTTATCATTTCTGTAATATTAGTGAAAAGGTCTTCTTTTTATTCTTTGATATTTTATTCATTTGGGTCTTTTTTATCATTAGCATAGCTAAAGATTTGCTAATTTTGTTTTTATTTTTACAAACAACTTTTTGTTTTCTTGATATTTTCTGTTGATATTTAGTGTTAATTGCTTATTTCTGATTTAATGTTTATCATTTCTTTTCCAAATGCTTTTTTACATGTGTGGGTGTCTGTTTTCTATTGTCATGGTAGGGTCTGCACTTAGTCTTTCTGTTTCTTTGATGCAGGCATTTAGTGCAACACCTTCTCGCTTAGTAGTGAATGTCATACGTTTTTCATGAATGTCATACATTTTTCCTTGTATGGTTCTATTTTCATTAATAGTCTTAGTAAAAGCTGTGTTTTCCAGTGGCTTCTAATATCTCTCATTTAAAGTTAGGGTTAGGGTTAGGTGGGTTGACCATGGAATGCACTTTTGCCAATATTTGATGGACAAGTTTGTGCATATGATGTTGGACTAACTCTTGTTCTTGTCAGCAGTATGTGAGTACACTGATTTCTCTCAACTTTTGCTACAAGAGATCCACCAACTGACTTGAAGTTTATGACTAGTCAATGTGCCATTGGATTTGGTATTCTAGGTGTTGCTGAGAATGCTTGTATATGTTTTGATCAACATATACTCTCTTTTTAAAAATTTGATTTATCCACTTTTAACACAACCCACACTTTCAATCACACACTTGAGGGGACATTCCTTTCTCCTCACAGTGGTTCAGAGGCTCCCCTTACAGGGGGTATGAAGATAGGAAAATCCAGTCTACTGTGTGTCATGTCTTCTGGGCTCTGACCCTCTCTACTGTCTCTTTTGCTCTTTCCACATCTTTTCTCTGCCTGGCCTAGTGTCCCCAAACAGACCAGGGGAGCTGCAACTCCAGCCTGGGTGGCCTTTTGCCCTCAGTACCTGGTCCAGCTGTGTGCACTGAGGTCCAGAGGGCTGAGTCCATTTTTTTTCTGTCTTAATTTCACTCATCAATATTTTGTAATTTTAAGTGCACAGATTGTTCATTTCCTGGGTTAAATTTAGTCTAATTAGTTTATATTTTTTTAAAATTCTGTTCTTTTTAAATTATCAATGACAGTAGAGTGTATTTTGACAGATGTATACAAACATGGAATACATCGTATTCTAATGAGAATCCCAGTCTTCTGAAGCATATACATAGGTTGATGCTATTGTAAATATGATGGTTTTTCTTAATTGATTTTTTGGTAGTACATTAAAATGAACAGAAAAACCACTGGTGACAAATTTATCAAAATAAAAATTTCTTCTTTATCTCAACCTCTTCTGTAGTTCATTGCATATAAACCCTCTATAGTTGTTCCTCATTAATATCTGAGAATTGGTCATATTATACATTGTTTTTTTTTTTTTAAGTTTCCCCTGTGTGTAAGAAGCAGTAGTTAATACCAGTCACTTGGTCCTTCTGTTTTATCATAGGTCATATTCAGAACCAGTTGCTTTGAAGGCTTCAGGGATGCTTGTATTGGCCAGGCACAGTTCCCTACCAGAAGTTCACATCCTGGCACTGTGAGATCCAGCTCAGAACCCTCAATACCAAGGTCACTAGCAGACCCTCCTTTCAGAGGTCTCTTCTGGGCTTTGAGGGGTCATCTCTCCCCTGGTTCCCAGCATTTACCTGATGTGCTACATTTCCAATGGTAGTAACTGTTTATGTCTGAATTTATTAATGGAACTCTTTTTACTTATTTTGCCTTTATTGGTTATTTTTAATTGTACATAAAGATTCACTTTAATATAATTATACACACATGGAACTTAATTTATTCTATTATACTCCCTGGATCCTCTCATTCCCCTCCTCATCCCCCGATTCCCCTGGTCTATTTTACTAGTCTACCTTATCCTCATCTGTTTATTTATTTATTTTTAAAATTTATGTTTTCATTGTAGTTGCACACAATACCTTTATTGCATTTATTTATTTTTATGTGGTGCTGAGGATCAAACCCAGGGCCTCACACATGCTAGGTGAACACTCTACCACTGAGCCCCAACCCCAGCCTGTGTTTATTTATTTCTATTGGAATTTATAGATGCACATAGAGGTGGAATCCACTGTAGTACATTTACACACACTCATGACCCTTTCCTATCCCTTCTCCCTTTCTCTGGATCTTCTTCTTCTATTCCACATATCTTCCCTATGTCTTTATAATATCCAACCTAATTTGCCTCCTTACTTTTCTCTAGATTCTGCATATGAAAGAAATCATTTGACCCTTTATTTTCTGAGTCTGTCTTATTTCATTTAGCATGATGATTTTTTCCTCCACCCATTAACCAGAAAATGTCACAATTTAATTATTTCTTTTAAATGAATAAAACTTTACTGTGTACATATATCACTTTTTCCTTATTCATTCATCTGTTTACCATCATCTGGACTAATTTCATAACTGGATATAGGAATTGTGCTTCTATAAACTTTAATATGGCTGTATCACTGTAGTTATTGATTTTAGTTCTTTTGCATAAATAATGGGATGGGATAGCTGGGTCATAGGATGCTTCTGCTAATATTGTGAAAATGGCTGTACTACCAGAAGCATTAAACAGATTTAATGCTATTCCAATTAAAATCCCAATGACATTCTTCATAGAACTAGAAAAAGCAATCATAAAATTTATTTGGAAAAAATAAAAGACCCACAATAGCCAAAGCAATTCTCAGCAAGAAGAGTGAAGCAGGAGACATCACAATACCAGACCTTAAACTATACTACAGCGCTATAGTAACAAAAATGGCCTGGTCTTGGCACCAAAGGAGACATATAGACCAGTGGTACAGAACAGAAGACACAGAGACAAATGACAAAAACTTCTGCTTTAACAGAGGAACTACTGGGAGACACCTCACATCCCATTCATAACATTTACTGCTGGCCCCTCAAACCCCATGTCCATTTCACAATGCAAAATTAATTTAGTCCATCTCCAAGTGTTTCATAGTCTTAATAATTCCAGCATTGCCCCAAAGTGGAAGTCCAAAATCTTTCCTGAAACTGTAGGTGAACTATTGGCTGTGAACCCCTATAAAACATCAAAAGAAGTTACATACATCCAGTATTCACTAGCAGAGAGTAAATCTTCCAATAGCAAAAGGCAGTAATAGGGGCATACAAAGAATGGATTAGGGATGAGGAAATGCAAAACCCTGTTGAATAAATATGTCCCTCAACTCCGCCTATAATTCCTCATGTAGCATCTATGACCCTTGACTACAAGAAGATATTTCCAAAGTGCTTAGGTATTCCTGCTCTTTGGCTTTGCCATTTGCAGAGCACAGGCAAATTCTCTCTTTTCCTTTAGCTATCTCTGTAGCCAGCAGCTTTTCTTGGCCTGCAGTTCATGCTTTTGGTAACCTCTAATTTCTGGAAATTCCATTCAAACTTTGGCTTCACCTTCAGAGCTTCACCGATCACCTGGTCAGGGGCAGCCTGCAGGGCCTCAGACCCTGCTACAGTTTGATTGGCATATGAGGCCTTTTTTAGAGATGGTGGTGAAAGGCAGCATGACCCCTTAACTTGAGCACCCTGCATTCCTGCAGAGCCAGCACAATGCATATAATGCCAAAGTCTGTTGACAGCTTGTGCTACAGTTGGGTACCTGAAATTACTGCTGTGATGATTTCTGAATGTGTTCCTTGCTGAGCAGGGAAAACTCACTTTCTGGGCCCCTGTGCTAGTGGGGTGGCCCCAAGGCAGTTTGGAACAGAATTTGTCTTCTACATCCATGAGTGTACAACAGAGGTGGTCTTGCAAATTCCTTACATGTCCTAAGCTTCTCTTTTTTGTCAGTTTGAAATAGTTGACATCTCTTAAGGGACTGCAATGACTTTACCACCACACCTTCCTTGGCCCTTGTTTTCTCAATGATCATGATAAAACTCTTATCAAATATGGATTTTAAGTCTACTAAAATAAGCAACTGTTTTCTTACAATGCTATATGTCTCTGGTATTGATATGAATATTGTAAAGGCTATTTAAAACATGGAAAAATGTAATGGTTATGGCATAATATTGTCAATCATGAATATTACCTGAAAGCACTCAGTAGATTATGTTACCATAATGTCTTGTTGGTGGATCTCTTTACAATAGATATGATCACACAATTTATCTTACTATAAAAATTTGTTTCTTTGTACAAAACTTGCACACAAAGTAAAGTTTTTTATAAATTCTGAAGAAGTTTCATATCACACCCACACACCTACAGTGTTTTTGTGTAATTTGACACAAGATATGAAATATCATGAAGTTATTAATCAATATTTTCTTTTTTGATTTCCTTCATCATCAAATCTTTCAATATAAAACATCCTATAACATAAGGTAAACATCCAAAGTCTTTGTCAAGATAGATACATATCATTAGGGATGGTTTTGCAATTTAATTTCATTCTTAATTCATATATTAAGTATAAACTTTACCCACCTAACTTAACTCAAAAATTGTTGATACAAGTCACCCATAGAGGTTCAGTAAGCTATAGTTCTGGAGGAAATGCATGTAAATGTGGGGTTTGCATAATTCATCTGGGATACTCTGAAGGTCTTTCTGCTCTATCAGGGAACATTGGAGCACTGGGAACCAGAAACCATAGACACAGTGTGTGGATGGAGCTTGTGTTCTGTTTGGATCCTGTTAAGCAAGTCAAGGCTTCCTGTAGCAGCCAGTGCTGAGGTGCTCACTGGTTCCTATTACAAGCATTCCCCTATCTGCAAACTTTAAGAAATGCCTTTACTAATCAATCAAATATGTTCAGGCTTTTAAATTTACCTAGGTAATAAGTACATAGGATTTTTTTTTTTTGCATTTTTTTCCTATTAGTGTACTGGTGAATAAAATTGTTTCTCAAAAGTTAGAATTTGATGTAATTATTTTCATATATATACATGTTTTTTCTCTTTTTGTTATATAAGTATTCCTAGGTAACTTGATATGAGCATATGTCAGCTATAATTAATAGTTGGCAAAGCATATGTCAGTGAGGAAACTAGAATGTTTGGAGAGTAATAACTTTTGTGAGATGATGAAAGATTGCCACAAGACTTGGAAGTGGCCCACCCCTGCAATTCCAGCACATCAGGAGCTAAGGCAGGAGAAGAAGAGTTTCCAAGCCAGCATCGGCAACATAATGAGACAGTAAACAATTTGCTAAGACCATGTTTCTATATTAAATACATAAAAGTATGAAGATGCTCCCCTGGATTCAATTGCTGCTCAGGAAAAAATAAATAAATAAATAAACTGCCCCAAGGTTTTAGGAAACAAGTACAGATAGAAGTTGAAAAGTCTAGTAAAGTGAGAGAAATTTAAGTGTTCATGGAATCAGACACTGAGGCCAGACAATTACATTGTGGGAGGAAAACTGTCCAAAAGATGACCTGCATTTCAGCCTTGGGGTTTGGTTCCTGACACTGGGTCACTCATGAACAGCTAAGAAAGGTGGGGTCTGTTTCCCAGCAGTTGGATTTATTATCAGGACTCAGGGGTGGTAACAATGGTCCTCTGAATACTTCATGGATGAAGAAATTCTTCTTTTTTAATGTTCTAGATGGAGAGAAATATTATTGTGTTTCTCTCTGGATTTTTGGTCACAAATTCTTTAGGATTTGATTTTTGTATTTTTTTCAAATAATTAATTGACAAAAGCATATATCACAGTTCTTGCATATTTGACACTGGCTCTGAGTAAGAGTAGATTATGGAGTGTAAGTTATCTCTAGTTTAAATTGGTAAAATTTTCCTCTTTTACAGTATTTGATATAGGTAAGAGGACATATTGGATGAATTTGATGAAATATATATATATCCTCAAAGAATTTCAGAAAATATGTTGAATTATGTTTTTTATTAAATTATGTATTGATAAAAAATACTTGGGAACCAATCTTACAAAAGTGGTAGAAGACATCTACAATGAAAACAACAAAAAACAAGAAGGAAATTGATGACCTTAGAAAATGGAAAACCCCCCATGATCTTGGATAGGCAGAATTAATGTTGTCAAAATGACAATATTTCCAAAGTCTTTATACAGATTTAATGCAATTCCTATTAAATCCCATTGTTATTATTTATAGAAATAGAAAAAAAACCCCAATTTTGAAATGCATTTGGAAAAATAAGACATCCAGAATAGCAAAAGCAATCCTTAGCAAGAAAAGTAAAGCAGGAAGCATCACAATACAGAAATTTATACTTTACTACAGAGCTATAGTAACAAAAACAGCATGGTTTTGGCACCAAAATACACTTGTAAACCAATGGTACAGAATACAAGACATAGAGACCAACCCACATAAATAACAATTATCACATACTAAACAATGGTGCCAAAAATATTTCAGAGAAAGGATAGCTTTTTTAACAAATAGTACTGTAAAAACTGGAAATCTATATGTGGCAAAATGAAACTAAACCCCCATCTCTCACCCTGCACAAAACTCAACTTAAAATGGATCAAAGACCTAGGCAGTAGACCCAAGACCTTGTGCCTAATAGAAGAAAAATTAGAACCACATCTTCATTATGTTGGCTTAGGACATGATTTCCTTAAAAAGATTCCCACAACAGCAGAAATAAAATCAAAGATCAATAAATGGGATGATATCAACTAAAACATTTCTTCACAACAAAGGAAAAAATCAAGAACATAAAGAGAGAGCCTACAGAATAGGAGAAAGTCTTTACCACATGTACATGAATGAACACTAATCTCCAGGATATATATATATATATATATATATATATATATATATATATATAACACCAAAGAAACAAATAATCCAATCAATAAATAGATTTAGAAACTGAACAGACACTGCACAGAGAAAGATATGCTATTGATCAACAAATATATGAAAAAATTTTCAACATCTCTAGAAATTAGAGAAATGCAAATCAAAACTACTCTAATATTTCATCTCACTCCAGTCAGAATGGAAATTATCAACAAAAAGCAACAATACCTGTTGGTGAGGATGTGGGGGAAAGGTACACTCATAAATTGCTGGTGGGACCGAAAATTGGTGCAACCATTCTGGAAAGCAGTATGGAGATTTCTTAGAAAACTTTGAATGGAACCACCATATGACCCAGCTATCTCACTTCTTGGTTTGTACCCAAAGAACTTAAAGACAATGTACGATAATGACACAGCCACATCAAAGTTTATAGCAGCTCAAGTCACAAGAGCTAAACTATAGAACCAAACTAGATGCCCTTCAACAGATGAATGGATAACAAAAATGTAGTATGTACACAATTGAGTATTACTCAGCCTCAAAAAAATAAAATTATGGCATTTTCGGGTAATGAATGGAGTTGGAGAATATCATGCTAAGTGAAATAAGCCAATCCCCAAACACCAAAGGTTAAATGTTTTCTCTGATATGCAGTTTTGATCCATAAATGGGGGGAACATAGGGAAGTATGGAGGAACTTTAGATTGAAAGGGAGTGAGGGGAGGGAAGGATGTGGGTGGACAAGGCTGGCAAAATGAGGCAGTCTTTATTACCCTATGTACATACATGTATGGTTGCACAAACCGTAAAACTCTGTATCATATACAGCCAGAGAAATAAGAAATTATACTCCAATTAGAATAATGAGTTAAAATGCATTCTGCTGTCATGTATAACAAATTAGAACAAATAATTAAAAATAAAAATGTATACAATGACAAAATTACACATTTTATGAAGTATCCATGGAAAAATATGGTAAATCACAAAAGATACCTTATAAAATAAATCACTCCTAATGATGTAATCCCAGTGTAGGCAGGGTTAGATGAAAAGCCCAGATGTGAAGAGCTTTATCTAAGAACCACAAACAGGGAAATGAGGATAATCTTGAAATGCAACTTTATCATTTCCCTGAGAAAAACTGTCTTTGCATTACTCTCCTCACAGCTTCCTTTACCTGCATGTTCCTGAGACTGTAGATGAGAGGATTCAGGAAGGGAGGAACCATGGTGTAAAAGGCAGAGAGAACCATGTCCTGGAGGGTGTCAGAGGTTGCTGAGGACCTCAGGTACACAGCTGTGCCAGAACTGAGAAATAGGGAAAACACGAGGATGTGAGGCGTGCAGGTGGAGAAGGCCTTCCCTGGGGCTCTGGTGGGAAATTTCAGCACAGCAGAAAATATGCGAATATATGACATTATTATTATAGCAAAGCAGCCACCACCCACAACTATAATAGAGACAAGAATAAGAATCATGTTGCTGGTGGTGTCAGAGCAGGAGAGCCTCAGCAGAGAGGAGACATCACAGAAGAACTGATGTACCACGTTTGACTGGCAGAAGGACAGCCGGAATGTGTTCCCAGTGTGCACACCTGCATATAGCACACCACTGATCATGGTGGCCAGGGTCATGCGGACACAGATCTGGGGGTTCATGATGAAGAGGTACTGAAGGGGCTGGCAGTTGGCCAAATAGCGGTCCCAGGCCATGATGGTAAGAAATAGCATCTCCACATATGCACAAAAAAAGACCAGGAAGATCTGTGTTGCACAGCCAGCCACTGAAATGGACCTGTTGCCAGTGAGAGAGTTGACACAGGCATTGGGGACAGTGACAGAAATGTAGCACATGTCCAAGATGGACAGGTTCCTGAGGAAGAAGTACATGGGTGTGTGCAGGTTCTGGTCAGCAGTGGTGAGAGTGACGATGAGAAGGTTCCCTAACAGGGTACCCAGGTAGGTCATTGGGAATACTGTGAAATAGAGGAAACTCAGATCCCAGCCATCAGGAGAGCCCGAGAGGAGAAATTCAGTTACCATGGTGGAATTGGCCATTTACTAGAAATTCTGGTTGTTTGAGATGATGAAGAGTTAAAAAGAGGAAGTAAAAAACCTCATTAATGAAATTAGTTCACACATTCATGTCCAAATAGTTTTCTTATATTTTGTAGTCACTTTCTCTGCAGATAAAGGTCACTCTTGTTTTTCTGATATGTTTACTCATTTCTGAGCAGAGTGTACCTCCCAGTGCTGGTGTTGAAGTCTGCAGCACAGGGTCTGGGCCTGACCTGCACGGGTTGTTCTCAGTTCCCCATCAGGCCTCCCCTGACCTCCAGAGACTCCATGCAGAGCACTTCCAGGGTTGCCCACCTCCTCGCCTGCATGACCACCTGTGTGACAGTTCATTGTTTAATGCTCTGTAGTTTATTTACCTTCATCCTTCTCCATAAACAAAATTCAATATTATTTTGCCATTACCTCCACACCTAATAATTCAAATTATACTGTATATTGTATTCTTTTTGGTTTTTATTTAAAGATCTATATATATATCATGTTGGAGTACTGATCACTACGAACATGAAAACATTTTACTCATGAGAAAACCATCTCAAGATTTCAAATTTTCCCCTTCCAGTGTCACAAGTATAGTGTTGTGGAAAACTGAGGTGACCTGAGTGCCCTTGAACACTGCTGAAGTCCCCCACTCTCCCTGGTGCTTCCCAGGATGGGGGTGGTGCTGTCTCATGGACACACACCCTCAGCCAGACCTGTTCCAGCTCCTGCTGGGGCTCTTTATTTCTCTCCAGGTGATCAGGGTAAGGTCTTCAGAGCCTCTGGGTCCCCGTCCAGCTGACATTCTCCTAAACCTCTACTTTGTATCTTTATATGTTCTCACTCTGTGTTCAGCACCATGAAGTTGAAATTTCCTTTGTCTAGACAATAATTTATACTTTTCTTGTTGACACTTCCATTATTTTTCTTTCTTCTCAATGGCATCATAGTTATACAAAAAGTACTGAATATATATATGCTAAAAGAATGTTTTCCCCATGGTTACAACACTTCTACAGCAACTCAGACCACCTATAGGTGACTCAATCTAGAGTCATCCATATTGTCATTTCCTCTGTCCTCTACAAAACTGAGTCCTTCTCAGGACCTTCTAGGTTAACCACACTTACCCTTAGAAAAGTGATCTTCCTATTGAGCCTCCCTGGGTTCCTCTGGAAATGTGTGTCCCCCAGGGTCAGGGGTGGGTAGCCAGACACAGGTAGGTTGGTGTTAATTTTACAGTGAGGGTGAAGTTCAAGGGGTCCTATTCTGTCTACCTGAACACTGTCTTACTTCATCCCCCATTCCTCCTCATACAAACCTGAGGCTCACTCCCACATGACCCCCTTGTTTATAACATACCCTGGAACTTGCTGACAGAAGCCTTTTCAAACTGTGACATAGTTTGATATAATTTTCTCCATATTGTGTATCCATTAAAGAAGGCTCAAATGAAACTTTTCCTCTGGAAACTGCTTTACAATCTTAAACGTTTCCTCCTTCTGTATAGTGTTAGAAACAGACATATTGTATTGCGTTGAATTAAATCTGTATGTATTCATCACTCAGATCACTGGTGAAAATTTCTTGATTTGGGACCTTGTATTGTTCATCTTTTTAGTAGCTTGTGCATGACTTCCTTCACAGTGGTAATGAACTAATGCCTGGTGGCTTTGTTGACTGATCACTCCCCTTGACTGGATTTCTTTATGCTACTGACTTACAGATGAAGAGCTTCCAAGCAGGCTCTGCCCCTTCTACACTACTGTAGCACACACAGTGCAGGATGGTGGGAGGTCATGCAATCGCAGGTGCCCTGTGCACTTGCAAGGTAAGATGTCTTTATAGCAGTAATTGCTCAAGAAGCATAACCGATGACACAACTATGGCTACAGCTATTTTTGATGGTTAAGTTTAGGAAAGAAGAAAAATATTGGTATTTTCAAGTAAATTGATTACCCTGAGAGAAATAATACAGTAATACATTATGTGAAAATATAAATGCATATGACAAATTCAGAAGGTGATGGGTGATGAGACAAATGCATATTAAAAACTTTGCAGGTTTTCAAACTTTTATACTGACTTCCAGACACTACAGGAGTCCTTGCTCACCACCCCTAGACATATGTGTCAAATATAAGATAAACAAATATGTGCTCAGGATCTGGAAGTTGGCATAAACTACAGAGACTTTTTTTGTTTCCACTTTTTATACTAAACCATGTACTATTTTTATTTTTCCAATAGAACTTAGTAAATTTTCTAGTAATCAGTTTGAATCATATGAATTTAATCGATGTCCTTCATTGCTTATGTGTTTAACTACTTCTTGAAAAATTCTTCTCTATATTTGACTTACTTTTTTCATGGATCAGTCTCACAGGAAACTTTAGATTATGGATATGACAAAATAAATATGGGACCACTACCTTATTTCCTGGGGTCCTCCAAGTATTATTGTAGATCTCCAAAATGTGATTAATTTCTTCACCTAGATTTTTTAAAAATAAGAAATAAGCCTTCAATTTTCTAGTTTGACCTCATAATTTTAGCATGTTTAGAACTACCTTGTCCTCTAAGGAATTAAAATGCTTATTGAAAATTCCCATAAACACCAAAAGTTGGTGACATAAATAAAACAAAGGTCAGGAAACAAAAAGGTCAAGAATAGAATCATGAAGAGAAATTAGCATATTTTTAATGCCAGTAATTTGAAGAAGGGCTTCTGCAAATGCTTTTGTCTGTTAGTGGAGAAAGCTTTGAGTTTTCCCTTTTGGTACTTCTCTGACAGTTCTTAACTATCAAATAAGTAGATTGCATTAAAAAATGCAGTGGATTGTTTGTGTTGTAAAATACAGGTTTTAATTATTTTCTAAATTACATTTTTTTATATTAGCAATTATGGCTTAGTTTTATTGATCAGTCACTGAGGGATGCTGAGGAGCACTTTAGCACTTCTGACCCTCACACTGTGCTTCTAAAGCTGCATGACCCTATAATTATATTTTTACCACTAAACTCACATCCTCATTAAGTGATATGCTTTTATTATAAAATGTGAACAATTATTGAAAATGAGAACATATTTGTGATTAGGAGAAAAAAGTGAGGTTGATGAATTCAAAATATTTCAATGAAAATTGTATACCATATTGGATGTTTTTATTTCCAACAGCTACTGGAAAATATGAATGTATATAATTTGCATAAATGAATTCATATCTACCTCCCTGTCATCTGCAATGTATTTGGCACTTTGTCCCTGTGCCTTAATCTGAATATATTTCTTTGTCAGCCATCAAAACTGTGCAGATAATTTTGTGCATTTTCTAAGTGTGTGGTAAATAAAAGCTATTTGAATAGAAGAATTTTAAACCAATAAGAAGTAACATGAAGAACTATCACATGTATTACTTGCATACACTGTGCAGACGTCCAGTCCACTGGAAATCAGAAAATAGTACCGTGTTTACAAGACTTCATTGTTCCTATAATTCTTTGAAGAATTAACCATTTTTTTTTCCCTGGGGTGGCTGACAATCTGGATGAAACTGCAATTTGTTGAGCAGCATGAAAATAAGGCTCAGAAGTGCCTGGACTCTAACTGCCAAGTACTCACTCCTGAGTGTCTCCTGTTCTCCAGGGGGGAACAGAACTGCATCTCTCCTTGGTTTTTCCCATCCACTCTCTTGCAGCCAGGTTGCATCTGTGCAGTGAGCTCAGTGCTATGTAGGATGTGGGAAGCTCATTCACCTCTGCTTTATGTGAACCTGGTGCCTGGCCAGTGGGAGCAGGACCCAAGGGAGCCCAGAGCTCAGCCTGCAGAGACAGCAGGAGGCCTGAGCACACCACCAGGCATCATCCCTCCTGAGCCCAGGAGAGAGGACCTGGCCACATGCCAGCATGGACAGTGGATGAAGCAGTGGAATTCCTTTGCTGGACATCAGTAGAGAAATGAGAAACACCGAGGAGAGACTGATGGTTCTCACTGTGTGTTTCCATCTCTGCCCTCCTTCACCTCAGTGTGAATTAGGGGTATTTGGGGGTCAGATAATATTAAGGGTGGTGGGCAACTCTCATTTCCTCACCAACCTGTAAATGGGAAACCTCTAACACTATCTGCAGTTTTGCTGCAAAAATTTCTTATCATTGAGATAAAATTCACATGACATCATGTTAACCTTTGTAACAGTTCATGGTTATCAATTCAGTGTTATCTACCACATTACAAAATTGTGCAACTTCCCAATACATCTTGTTCCCAGATAGTTTTATCACTTTCAGTGAAATACTATCCATTGTCCCTACTTATCCTTACTTACAGTCACTTGAAGACACTAAGTATAATCTCCATGTTTAAATTTATGTCTTGCAGGTTTGGTTGAGTAGAATCATTCAGTATGGGTTCTTTTTTATGACTTGGGTCAGTGAAATGTTTTTCAAATTAATCCACATTGTAGTGTTTATTACAATTTTATTCTTTTAGAGAATGAACACTATTCCATTTTATATATGTATACCAGCAAATTTAAAAGTCTATATATCCTTCTATAAGCATTTGGTCCTTTGTTCTATTATCATAGTGTGGCATTGCTGGTTATTGTCTTTGAGCTTCTCCCCTTCTAGGATAGATTACATATGTACACAGGGTGCTGTCTTTTTGATGTGCTATTGGAATCCATTTTCTAGGTTTTGCTGAGAATGCTTGCATGGGTCTTGATGAAGGATATGGGTCTGTTATCCTCTTCTTTGTGGTTTTTGTGTAATTTTCTGGATCTTTTTTTTTTTTTTTTTTTTTAGAGAGAGAGAGAGAGAGAGAGAATTTTTTAATATTTATTTTTTAATTATCGGCGGACACAACATCTTTGTATGTGGTGCTGAGGATTGAACCCGGGCCACACGCACGCCAGGCGAGCGCGCTACCGCTTGAGCCACATCCCCAGCCCCAATTTTCTGGATCTTATACTAGGGAGACGATGTATTTTGTGGAACATGAC